AGAAAAAACAAAGACACTTTCATTATATAAATCGAACCCAAGCTATCGATTAAGTCTAGTTAGAACTTAATCGGTTCGACCGTTATTAAGATCTCAAAATCTCAGGTGCGCGCAACGCGACGGCTCGCGTTAAGAGACCCGGCATGGCTTGACATATATGACATAACATTTTTATATTATATTTTATTTATTTTTATATTTTTTTAACACTTGACACCAAGCCACTACCGTGTCTCCTGATCTCGGATAATCAAAGAGACCCCGGAGGGCGAGCTGGCGTCCTGTCGCGGATTATCGGACGAGAGAGGGGCGAATGGAAAGTTTGCGCGAGAATCTCCGGCGGAGCACATCGTCCCAACACACTTCGGATCGATCCCCTGCCGCCGGTGAGAAACGAGATGACGATGAGATCCCGGCGAACTCGCTGATTGAACGCGGCCGATACTACGGCCGAACTTCAACCTCTCTCCAGCTGCTGTTACTCCACTTTCTTTCGGGAAACTCGTCCGACACAATGTGTACAGGGTGTCCCGTATCAATATGAAAACGTTGTGTCATATACATATACATATATTTTATCCACACACACACACACACTCACACACACACACACACACATACAAAATTATATATTTAATTGATGTAGCCTTATGTGTGCATTAATTCATGTGACGAACTTACTATATTATGTATGTTAACATTGTTAACGATTCGAAAACTTAATGCGCGCGGAATCTCTCTCTCTCTCATTTTTAATAATTGCATTTATAATGTGATCGAGACATATTTTTGTCAAGATAAAATTATTTGAACGCGAAATTATTTAAAGAATAGAAAAACAAGTTTGAGAACACCTTGTACATACGAAGGGGTTTAATCTACCGCTGGAAGCTGATACATTTTCCCGCTACCACGGGAAATACGCTATTACATCCTTTAGCAAGAGAGGGAGAAAGACGTCAACATGATAAACGTGAAAAGAACAGAGAAGGATAGCAATTCGTGTTCCAGTATTACCGAGTATCAGTGCTTGCGGTTAATTTGAGAAAGAACTAATTGCACGACGACTCTCCCGATTTAATCAAACTAAATGAAATAATATTTTCAAATATGAATAATTATAAATTATAATAAATATTTTTAAATTAAATATTATAAATTATATATATATATATTGTATATTGTATATATGTATATTAATTAATTGAATAATGCGTATAACAAAATTTTTATTTTTTGTACATATAAAAATTTGTATACGTATCATATGTACGCACATGTATGTTACATGTATGTAACCTAACCAGCACAGAATTTTTATTTTACTCCGCGATCTAATATTGCCTATTATTTGTCCTTAAATCTATTTTACGACTCTGTGCCGTAGAATAAACGTACGTATCTATCTCGACATATTCGACATAAACCCGAAATAATCCTCGGGCGTCTTTTAACACGTTATCTTCGTCCGGCTATATAATAATGCGTGCAATACGATTTTGTGGCAGATAAAAACTACGAAGATAAGATATAGCATCACCCAAGCTGCAGAAAACGGAGTTTTAACGCGTGACGTTAATTGAGATCCCTTTTTGACGTGTTGTTTATCTCCCACCAGGCGCGGTTTTCCCCGCGAGGAAAGGGAGAAGGGAAATCCTAAACCGAGATCGTCCGGCGTATCGTCCCGCAAACGGAATGATTCTTTGACGTCAATGTCACATGCATAGCGCCAATAAACAGAGAATGACTTGAGCGCAACAGTTCGCGGAATATCGCGGTCTGTAAAAATAGCGCGTCGTAAATGCGAAGTAAATTAATGAATTTATGAGAGAACACGTTACTTTCAATAATCCGCCTCTTCCTCGTCTGTAACTTTTAATACAGACCGTAAGCAAGAGAGGTAATATGCCTTCGGATTATCGCTCGGAAAGGCATTCTTGACACGCGTGCGCATTGAAAATAAATTTAAGTCTCAAGCGGGCGACTTTCGTGATCCAATTAATTTCTATGTCGAAATTAACCCTAAGCACGATTCGAGCGCGCATCGCGCGGCTCGTTTCAACGTTTGTAAATATTTGTTTGCCGGAAACGCCGATGTGAAGAGGCGAGGAGAGACGACGATGAAGGGTGTAACGGAGAAGCGAGGCTACACCCTCAATTGCTCGACTGAAATTGATGGCGTCAGCCCGCTTCCCCTGGAGCGTTTTGTTTGCCCCACATGCGCCACAGACACACGCATGCACACACACATGCACATACACACACACACAACACGCGCGCGCGCATACACACGCACACATGTACACGCATACATACATTTGCGTGCAAACACGTGTGGATGCACGTGAGCGTATGTGCAACGGCGCCAAGGAGGTCGTCGCCAAGGTGACGTCATCGGTTGCCAAAAATGACAGCGAGCTCCTTAATGCCCCTCAGAATTACGTGACCTTACATCTCGATCAGTTCGCATTCCCGGATAGATTGAATCCTCAATGTAGCAAGATTGAGAAATATATTTTAATGCTACCTGTATCTTGATTTCTAATTTTTTTTATTTTAAATGTAATAAATGCCACGATAATTGTATAACTTCGTTGAAGAACTTTTTCGTTCGACTCTATTAAATAACCTGAGTTTTCTTGTTAGAATGTTTATATATTATATTAACTTTTGAGAAAATTTAAAACGTAGTAAATAAAATCCCCATAATCTGTTTCCTATATCAATTGCATACATTATTTCTTAAGAACAATTCCATTTCTTACATGGAAAGAATGATTCTGCTGGAAGCCAAACATTTTGCTGGATACAAATCTGAAAATATAATTCTTGTTGAATCATCAAAATAATTTTGTTGGAAAGTTAAAAATAATAATCATTTGTAACTTTCCAACAAAATTATTTTATTTTAATTGTATAACAAAAATATATTATTTTCAGATCTGAATCCAGCAAAATCTTCCCGTGTTCTTTCCGTGTAGTGATAATATTTCATTATAATATACCAAAAATTAATCGTCATATATCCATATAACAATTATATACAATTATATCATTAAACATTGATCACTTTAATCCTTTGGACTTTGCGTAATATCATTCACGCGAGACATCATGTTTTCGCATTAAAACTATACCATATCCTAATGAATCTTAAGAGGAATGATTCATACACGAGGATCGGCTTGTCGGCGATCAAGTTATCATTAGACGTAAGACGTAATAGAACTAAACCAACCGATTCCGCTGCCGATAAAGAAACTCTCCAAAAGGAGTTTGGCGAAAGAAGAGCACGAACGCGCGATTCCGGGTACGGGAAAACGTCACGTACGTCACGGAAGGCATGAGTAAACGAGTCACAATATTTTTTTCACAGCGACTATATCATCGAAGTGACTCCCTGCATCACGGTCCAGAGGTTTCCGTGTGACAGTCTGCTCCGCTCGTCTGCCTACCTAGCCAAGAATGACTAATGGGGACTCATCGTTAATTGAGACATACGACGAGAGCAGCTGCACGATCGGGAGGAGCTGCCGTCGTTTTCATGGACTCGTTGCTAGGATAATCGTCAGGAACGTTTAAAACGCCGGTTTTCGGAGGAACTCGAGCCAACTTGGCACTTACCAGAATTATCCGGGTTTCGGTGTAATGTACCGTGCTCGGAATAATTAGCCTGCCTAATTGGAACGTCGTTCTTTTTTCTTCGGGGTAATAATGCGATGAAGCATTTTTTGCGAAAAATGCGAAAAAGTAGGTACAATAGATTCCCTGAAACAATGAAGTATTTTCTACCTTAATCGGTTATTATAATAATAAAAAGAAAGATATCGCGTTTTTCTCGGTGTTATTTTAATTAAGTATAGTCAAACCTCGATAACTCAAATCTCAAGGGAAGAGAAAAATTTTTCGAGTTAAAGAGTTTTCGACTTCGAGTAAATTCAAGTACAAAAGGATTAAACATAAAAATTTGACTTACGGAAGCTTTGAGAGTTTATGATTTTCCGATCATA